CCACCCCCCCCCCTTCTTTCCCCTTTCCCGCCCTGCGCTTGCTGCTGTTCAAAAAGGTGTCAAGTACCAAAAGATAAAACTCTGCATATGCAGAAGTCTCCGCTTGCGAGAGTAAATAAAAAAGAAAGAAAGAAAGAAAAAAGAGGCTGACTTGTGGAAGGAGAACGGAAAGGAAGGCAGGGAGGGGGGGTGTGGTGACAGTCAGCTCCTGAGGAACTAGTGAACATACAGACAAGACTACAACTAACTAGTTGGGTCAACTAGTTGGGTTCTACCCGGATTAGAGTTTTGGCTTGCATAACAACGCCTTTCTTAGGCCCGGCGCGTAGTTATGGGAACATTCTTCAGCCTTGGCCTCTTTTTTTCCTTTTTTTTTCTTTTTTTTTCGTGGTCTGAACCTTTTTGAGCAGGGATCTAGATGGTTGACAGTTTGCTCCGAAGCGGAGGAAAGGGAGGAGGTATTTGGCCGCGCCCAACTCTTGTTTTCTCTCCTCTTTCAAGTCTCTACAAAGTTTTGCCATCTCATCGCGTGATTGGGAAAACATTTTCGTTGCAGCTCTCATTTCCCTGGGATATCTGTTTTTCTTACACCGAAAAGTAATCAAACCCATTCCCCCATCCTCTCTTTCTCTCTCTCTCTCTCTCTCTCGGCCGAGAAGATCAGATGGTGATGGTCTGCCGGTAACTCCGTACACATCATCTCTCGTATCCGGAGGGGCCGCCCGCCTTTGACAAGGAGATTTTCTTACAAGACGGAATATACAAATGACAAGCGGGCGGGAAAGGGGGGGCGTGCAGGCGGGCCATCCTCATCGAACGTTTTTTTCTTTTCCGTGGGGAGTTGCCCAACAGAGCTAATATAATAGAGTTTACGCCTGCATCAAGACGGCGAGACATTCTCAACCCAAGTTGCCAAGACAATTTTACTGTACTCCCCCTTCTGTCTCCTCTCTCTTTTTTACTAGTTCAAAATTTCTCGGGCTTCTCTTCGGGCTCCATTCCAAGGTTGAGGGGTACATCCGGGTTATCAACGAAGACGAACATGATCAAATCGCGATCCAAGTCTGTCAACCCGTCAGCTTCCCTGCCGTATGCACAACACTCTTCAGTAAACCTTGTTTATGCCGGGGAATACTCGGCATGTAGGCAGGATACGGCTCTGCTCTCAACGAGTCTCAATATATGTACCAACGATTCAACGAGTGGGAGATGGCGAGATCAAAGCAAGGATTTGGACTCCTTAATCTTCTCGTCCTCTCCTTCCCCTTCTTCCCCTTCCCCTTCTTCTTCTCCTTCCCCTTCTCCTGCTCCTGCTCTCTCATATCAGATCTCGCTTGTTATTTCCCTTGCTTCTAGTCTAGTGACCTCTGAATCCTGACTCAAACCGCCTCCGCATTGGGCAGAATCCATATTACACTTGTAGATCCTCTTGGGGGTTTTCAAGATCCCAAGCATCTCTCCGGACCTTTTCTTTTTCTTGGCTGCGTGTTGGTGGAGCTGTCCAGTGATGCTTTGTTACATGGCTCTCGGAATACTGTCCCCCTCACAAATTTAGAGCATCGTCTTACGAAGTAGTAGCCTTGCCACCCAAATCTACTTTTGGACTACGCGCCCTCTCGGTAGTACATCACTCAGCGACCCAGCCTTGTTTCATTAAAGCGGCCACGTGCTCTATGCGCGTTATGCCGCCTAGTGGCGAGTTTTCCTTTCTACTATTACAAAGTCCAGACCACTTTGACACGGCTATAAGCCGGCAACTAGTTGGCCGACGAGCGCGATTCTACGCTTTGTTGCGTCTCGACCGATTCCTGGCCCGCATCTCGCAGCCAAAAATTACGTAGCAGATAATAATAGAGTGGACAAGTGGCTCTGGTCTGTCCACTCATTCTCTTTCTGGTTCATTTCTCATGACAATATTGGCGCTTTAGTCGTGCCTACGGGGATGGATGGCCAAGTCCAAAGCTCGCGCAACACATGACCGGGGGATCATGGCAACAGAGAAAGGCACATGAGCTGAGCGTGAACCTTTTACCTCTTGGTTTCTTGCAACTCTTTTTTTTTTTGCCGGTTCACATGGCGTGGACAGCTATTATTAGTGTGCGTCCCATGATACCACCAATAGCTATCTATGTAGACCGTTCAGATGGACGCCCTGTTGTCCCGAGAGTCCACTTGCATCTCTCCTCCCCCCCCGCGACGAAATCGCCCACTAAAGAAAACCTACGCATCAAGTTAATAAAATTCAAACAGGCATTGTGTTGTGTGTAGCACAAGTCTTCGTCTTTTGAAACTGTATCAAGAAAGAGAGAGGGGCAAGAAGGGAAGCAACATGCTTGCAGCGAATTCCTATAGCAAACTCTCCCATATGCAACAAAGCACACTAAACTAAGCTCAAGAGTCAATACGTCGCCCTCACTCCTTCATCTTCTGTCCAGCCCTTCCTTGTCCGTTGCTGCCATGTTAATCTTTTTGTGGCCCATTATGCGTCTCCAGTGCTTTGACACCCACTTGTTCGTTTCATGGGGTCCGTTGCTGGCCTTTGCGCTATGCCTCATCCTTGCTCACCTTGTTCTGGCCTCTTCCATCTTCACCACGACATGAATTAGCTTGAAAAAAAAAGGAAAAAAGACAAAAAGAGAGAGAAACAAGAGTAACTGATGAGGTAGGAAAGAGGGAGCAAAAATAATATGAAAAAATTGTTCATAGATCATAAACGGGGCATGTTGATATTCGTTATATGAGGAGCAAAAATTGTAAACAACATGATACCAAACGGGCCTTTTTCCCGTGTATTAGCCAAAAGAAGCTGGCACACACTCATACATACTTGTACCCAACAGAAAAAGAACCACAGACAGCCGCGTGCACAGTTCTGAGCTCAGCTAGCCTTCCTTCACAAGAACCCGACAGATCGTACCGAGACATTGTCGCGTCAAATACGCCGCTCTCACTCGCACTGAACAACGAGATGGTATCTCCAAATGAACAGAAATTCCCCCAACAATGCTGAAAGAGTAAGCCCTTGTCGATTCCCTCGTCGATGCTTCAAGTGCTGCTCCATGAAGCAAAAGATGTGGGTCAAAAAGATAAGAAAACGCCCTGCAAAATGCATTTGCCATAGGAAACAGCCTATACTCATGGGCGAGCAAGACGCTACCGAGACCTCAGTTGTGTCGCGCCCGCATATAAACCAGATCAACAACATGTTCTGTCATCATTCGTTCACCTCACCACGTTTAGCCACTTGCATCACATGGACCAAGTGCATGGCCAACAACCCAATCGCACCCACGTCGAAACAGCAGCTTGCTTAATGCATAGCTGTTCGGTTCCCACTATCCACCACCTGGGGCATCATGCCTCGACCGTCGTTCGTTACATAGTTGTAACCCGAAGCTTGCGCGACGTTGCCTTGCGACATATCGTCGGGTCGAAACATGCTAGGTTGGCCAGTGCTGTAGCCCGGCCGTGGCGCTTCTTCGAATGACGTCGTCATGAAAGTCTGGTTTGGGTCCATGGGCACACCGGGCGACACAAAGGGCCCCGCTTCCATGCTGGGCTGCTGGGCTGCATAGGCGTACATGGGCGATCCATTAGTCCCATTAGAGCTGGCCTGCCACTGCTGGGAGTAGATGGTGCCGCCGGGGCTGGGAAAGTCGCTAAACACAGACGGCCGACGACTAACCTCGTGTGGGCTTGGTACAAGGTCGAGAGTGAGGTTAGAGCTGGTTGCCGAGACGCCAGCCTGGCTGTGAACTTGCATTGAGCCGTTGTCAACATAATTGTGTTGTGGGGCCATCTCGTTCATCATTGGGGGCTGGAATTGCGAACCGCGCATCGGTAGGTCGCCAATAAATGCATCTCCGGGCCCAGATAGGCCTGACAAGGTAGCGGCGTCTGTGCGCACCGATGGACGCATGGCGCCGCCCATCGTCGTGGCTGGTTTCGCCGTGGGTTCGACATCTTCGTCCTCCTTGATAAAGGAACCTGTCTCGTCGTTTTCTGAAACGTAGTTCTCCGGCACTTTATCCTCGGACATGACATAGATCTCCGTCGTTCCGTCGATTTCTCCCAACTTGTAGCGTTCCTCTTGTCGAGCCACTTTGAAAATTTCCGTCAGGAACGGCTTCTTGCGGGCGTTGGCCTCATTATCCATGAAGAATGACGAAAGGGCTTCCGCGGTAGTTTCTTCCAGCTTTGTCACATTGAGTCCCAGCTTTCGAATGTCGGGGTGCTGTTTTCCATTAGGTTCCAAGACAGTGCGTAAAATGTGTGCAAGCAGATGGACACGTTCTGGCCGAATTAGCAAAACATATACCGTACACAATCCAGAAAAGCAGCTTACCTCGCTTGTACAAGTGATCCGGTTCCTTGTGGCGAACTTTGTCGTCCTTGGTTGGGCCCCATGGCTTGGGCCACCAGTCGGGCGCCTTTTCATCGCTTCCAGTGTAGGGGTGAGTCGACTGTTTCTTGGGCTCGACAGCTTTGACCCAGGCTTTGGCGATGAGTTTACAGGCCGTTTGCTGGCAGTTTTTGAACCTTTGCTCATAGAAGCCCCACACGGCGTCCGAGTCACCAACCCTGATGCCACGCCTCGAGGATACGGTCATTTGTGTGTCCTCGTCGTCATTGAGCGGGTTGCGAGGCCTGGGTCGTTTGCGACCAGATCGAGCCGGGCTGCCCCAATCGGCCAGGGCCGAGCTTCTGCGGCGGTCTCCCGGCCTGCTTCGGCTGAAGATGTGTCGATTAAAGACGGGCTCATCCTGGTTGGATGTGTCGTCTAGCATGAGATCCGCGCCTAGTACGAAGTCAGTGATCACTCTGGCAGCGCAAGTTTGTAATAGGCTTACCGGCATCGAGTCTGGTCATGACTTGCTGAAACTTGCTGGCGTCGAAAAACTGAGCAATGACATTTTCTGGCAGCTTCTGGCCGCCGCTGAAAAGGGTGCACGGCGTTCCGTCGTCTGCAGAGGCCGCAACAAAGTACCGCCTCACAGGCACACCAAGGTGCCTCCTCAGTGCCTCATCAATATCCTATATATCACGTATTAGCAAAGGCTGAGGTGGAAAGGGGCGCAATGTGCAAGCTAACCGATAGCTGCTGACGGCGAGCATGATCGCTTGCATCTCCAAAGCGGCCATTTGGGTGATTGATTGGGTAGCGCTCCTGGTGGAAGCCGTTGTGTGGCTGCATTTCATGACTGTAGCGATCGGTTGAAAAGGAAGTGTGTCGCTCAGGTTGTTGTTCTTGGGCGAAGCATGCGTGAGAGAATGATTGGTGACGAGGGAACGAGTCCCGAGGCCAGTCCTGAACCATGGCGATTTTCGTGCTCGTTAACCGGAAAATGTGGCTGTGTCGGCAATCGCGCGAGGTTCTTGGAGGATTAGGGCGGAGCGATTATATCCGGTTTGTATAGCCGTAGGAGAAGACTACTGCATATCGAGGCTGACGTCTTACAGTTGCACCGCCAGAATGTCCAGTCGTCGAGGTTAGGCGTGTTGGCGACTGTTGATCGATGAATTTTCTGACCGCGACAGTTGTCGCGAAATCAATCAGTGGCAGAATAGCGGCGCGAAGGTATTGGCATGGGAACGGCAAAACACGCTGGCACTGTGTTTTTGTCTATTTCGGCGCATAAGTCAGCCAGACGATGAGTATCGGGGTTGTCGTCGCTACTGATGGTAGGTGGACTTGTAGAGGGAAAGATAGGTCTGTGAAGCTTGACAATCACGGGGTAGTTGTGGTTGGTGAGAGGGGTAGAGTCATAGATATAGTGTCGAGGGGGAATGGGGGGGGGGGGAGATGGGAGAGGCAAGTCTTTGAAGGCGAGACAGCACAAGCACTTGAGTGTCGAGGTCGCACTTGTAGGCAGGATGCAGCAAAGAGACTGGTGCAGGAGGACTGAAGAGGTACAAGCGGAGATGGTCACACAGCAGCGTGGTGCGGTGGTACCTGTACGCCAGTCTGGGTACCAGCAGTAAGATGTCTCGCCTTGGTGCAGCGCGGCGTGGTAAATAAAGAGGGCTTGATGCGTGAGCAGGTTGGCTCCTCTGAGGAGGGGGGTGGGTGAGAGAGGGGGTGTGTGGAAGTTGAGTAGTGGCAGAAGAAGTGCCTACCTTTTCCAAAAGTGTGAATATGGTGTCTTGGAAGAGAAAAACGAGTTGCTGCAGGAGCGGGAGAGACGCGAGAGTGACGAGGCAATATTCAGGGTCGATGGCAGATGCAGCGGGGAGGGCTGAGTGTGACAGCCGAATATGTACTCGGGAGGTGAATTGGGGAACGGGCGATGTCGAGACAGATGTGCGCCTGAGCCAAATATATGGTGGTTGAGCACAAATTACAGATCAGAGGGCGGAGGAGCTGCAGATTGTACGGGGACAGTAGTCAGGGTCGCAGCGAAAATGTGTCAAGGCGGCCGAGGAGGGCAGTGACGTGGATGCGATTGGAGCAGGCGGTAAGTAGTGTAGAAATGTAATTGTTGAAGCAGAGGACGAAGCGAAAGTAGAGGAGAGACGAGGTAGCGGAGAGAAGAGCTGTCGAGAAGGCGAGGGGGACTGAGGAAAATAGGGAGCCGGGTAGTCGCCGATCGGAAGAGGGTGCAGCGCGGAGCAAGACCGTGACAACTTGACAAGAGGAACGGTACGACGGATGAGAGAAGTAGTATGATGGTAAAAAGGTGGGAGCCGGCGCAGGCAAGGGAGGAAGCGCAGATGGAGCTGCAGAAAGAAGTATTGCCCGGAAGAGCAGCGTAGTGAGAAGCAGCGCAGCAGGACAGGGAATATGTACAGCTGATACGTGTGGTCGCTGGCTGGTACGGGGGGGCGTCAGCGGCAGACTGAATAAATAATCCGCAGCAGCGCAGGTGCTCGTGCTGGTTCAAGAGCGGGCTGCGCAGTTCAGGATGGCTCAGGATGTGATGCGACAAGAGCGGCGCGACAAGGGACAAGTTGGGACAATACGAGGCCAGCTAGGCAGGCAGAATAGAGCGTCGTAGCGTAAGGGCGGCGCTCAGAGTCGGAGGAGTAGCAGCAGCAGAAACAGCAACAGCAGCGGCAGCGACAGCAGACAGAGGTAATCGTGGTCAGGCACTTGACACCCAGTTGGTTGTTATCTGGTCTGGCAGTGTGGCACTCGGCGGAAAAGGCAGAGAAACAGACACGGCTGGATGTGCGGACGGAACGGAGCACAGTCGGGAGAATATGTACTGCCATCTCGTTAGCCAGCGAGCCAAGCCAAGACTAGCCTGTGGTGAAAAGAAGCCAAGTGGGTGACGGGTACGGGACGGATGGGGATAGCGGCCAATCGCTCCTCCAACACCTGCAAGCTAGTACGCTGGGGTTCCCTTTTTTAACCCTTGGGTACGGAGTACTTTCCTTTTAAATTTCTTAGCGCATTTGAGGAGGGGGAAAGAGAGGATAGGAGGGGGGGGGGGGGGGGGGGGGCGTGGGGGGAAAGCTATAGGTAGTTACCTGGTGGTAGCACTTGGTGGTGGTGGTGGTAGCAGAGATAAATAGTCCCACGGCTCCACGAAGCGGCGTATTCTTGGTAACTTCCATGACACGACAGAGGGCGGGCGGCGGGTGAGGCAGCAAGCCAGCGAGATAGATTAGCTCCGAGAGAGACAGAAAAGACGGAAATTGCTCTCAATGTCGGGGCATCTGCTCATGAATCGTCTTGTTGTATATTTGCTCAGCAGTAGGCATGTGCGCAGGAAGCTGCATTCTCGCAGCGTAGAGATCTTGGGCGCCGTGGTCAGAGTCCGCGGCTGTCGAGAGCGCCTTTTCCTAATATTTACAGACTCTTGGACTCCGCAGCGCGCAGACAAGGTCAAGTCGAAAGACTTGGCTTCTCTCGGCCAAAGGAAAGTCAACAAGCTGGCAGCTCTCTGCAGACACATTCAAGATATCTACGCTGCGAGAATGCAGCTTCCTCCGCGCATGCCTACTGCTGAGCAGATATACAACAAGATGATTCCTGAGCAGATGCCCGACATTCAGAGCAATTTCCTGCTCGAGAGCAACGGCGGTGACGGCACCAAGGTCCTCAAAGTCCTCGAGGTCATCCCACTCATCCTCATCAGCACCACGGAACGAGTGCGACGAGGGTCCGGCCTTGGCTCCAACGAGGCGTCGAGGTTGAAGCTGTGCCGCTGTGCGGCGTTGATGGGATACAGGGATCAGCCGACCTTGTCTGGCGAGAGAGAGACGAAAGGCCCCAAACTACTTTAGTCTGCGTGCCCGTTCAGAGAGGACAAGAAGGGCCAGGGCCGGGAAGGACACGGCACGTCATCGTCGAGCTCGTTTCTGCGGCGTTTGCTGGTGCCTCGTGGGAGGGGATGGATGAATGCTACCGGGGGGCGTGCAGCTAGGTGGGATAGATGAGCGGGCTGGATGGACGGCTGGACGGATGGTGGCACCGCAAGTCCTTTTTTCCCCTGCCATTTTTTTTTCTCTTTCCCTTGATGATTTCTGGGGGCTTGTCTTGCAGTTGGGGCTGTGAGAGCCAAAATCAAAGGTGTGAGCAATTGCTGGCCTGGCTTGTCTGGCCTGGCTTGTCTGGCCTGAATTGTCTGGCTTGCTGGTGAGGCGTGCAAAGCGTGGCCTGTGGAGCACTGGAGAAAGAACCAGGTGCCAGGTGCCAGGTACTTCCTTGCACCTAATGAGTGCTAGTTTCATGGCCAGCCAGGTGGGGCGGGCCAAAGGAACAGGACGCACAGAAGACCAGAATATGCTGGTAAATAGGAAACAAATAGGACCAAGGAGTAATGAGTTAGGACAAGACCGTCGAGAACGCAGGTCTGCCCATTGCAAGATTTTTCTTTTGCAACTTTTTGGTTCGATTTATCGCACACGTTATTCTGCACTACAGTCATGACGTACCTACTCAAGATGTTGCGTTAGACCGCCCAAGCGCCGTCGCAGCATCGGGCAGCTGCCCGTTATCGCTACATTGACTGGTGGCAGACAACTACTGATAATAAACTGTCTGTTATTTGAGAGGTAGTGCTACTACCTGTCTCTCCTAGCACAGTAGCGTCGTTCCTCGAGGGCCCTGGCGGTGGCTGCGCTCCTAATATGTTATAAGGTGTCTTCCCTGTTCGTGGTGTTATAGCCAAGGCGCTATGCCCGCATTATAGCCTATCAGTAACCTTTGATCGTCGAAATACTGCAAATAGGGTCTAATACTGCACTGTGCTTGCATTGCAAGGCGGTGGTGTTCTCAGACGTGCGCAACTTGGTACTTGGTTCGTCTACGTACCATGGTATCATCTTGTTGCTCGTTTGGCGTGTACAGCCGGTCGCAGCCATCCGAAAACGCTCGTGCCATTGACTCTAACTAACGCCTTCCTATGTCTTTTGTTGAGATGATCCAAGGCACTGTCATTCGCCGACAAGTTGACTGCCATACGCCCGCCATACGACGTTGTCCTCCACATGATGGCTCGACAATAATACGGCGGATAGTCGCCATAACTTTTGGTTATTAGCGCCGCCTACAGAAAATTTAGAGATTGTGCTAGAATTACGATCTCTGCCGGACGGTTTTGTTGCATCAAACATGAAGTAGTTACCTTTCGAATCCGATTTCGCTGTAGCTTTTCAAGCATGTCAAGCGAGAGTTGCAAATTTTGGCAAGTATCAGCAGGTCATTATGCAGACGGAATGGTCCAGAACAGTTGCCGTCTCAAGTTGAAGCCGTCACTGGGCGTGACAAGAGCGTTTTCCACCAGCGCCAATCGCCCCAGTGACCAAGCTGCCTATCCGTAGATACACCGGTCATCGTGCAGTTGTCACGACAAGTGCAAGCAAGTGCGTGTAAGCCTTGCTATGCTAGCACAAGATAGGCTGAGACTTGCAGCATAGACCGACCGTCGTGGCGTCTTGTTAGCGGCAATGCATTTCGCATTCTGCGACATTAGAAAATACGGCGATGTCGCACGTCGTGATGAGTGTTGTCTGACGATCCTGGTCTGGGTGTGGTTTAGCGAGGCTCGCAAGCTCGTTGGCGCAGTGCTGATGCATTGGCAGCAACGATCAGGCGGATCCGCAGTCCTCAGTAAAATAGCTTTTGTCTGGAGGGCTGGCCCTTTTCTTTGTTTCTTCATTCTTTGTTTTTCTTTGATTCCAATCTATCAGACACGCTGGCGGTATCGGATGGCGTGTTGCAGCGTACTGTAGTGCGCTGCGGAGGTCCCTAGCGCACTCCTAAGAACAGGCTAGGTAGGTCATGGTGCCCTTGTCCACCCATGCCGCTGCCCATGCCAGCCGAGCGTACCCAAATACCCAGCAGCGCCATGTTCGGGAAATGGTGCCCTGTATCTTCTCCTCTCGTCCTCTCGGAGCGCGCCCGAGCCTCTGCTACTGTCCGCGATTTGCGCCTCAGCACAGTAGTTAGACAGGTAGGACCAAATAAACGAACGTATAGCCGTACATACGCTAGCTCCTGAGTAATAATAAGAGGTTGGAATGTCAAAAGTCTCCGGAGCTACTATTCCTCGCATGAACAAGCTCAGCTCCAGGCTACCGGTTTGCGCCCCTGCTTAAACTATAACTTATATGTACATTATTAATCCGTACATTCTCCAATCAACCCCCCCTCACTGATGAGTTGCTGCTAATCTAGACGAGTTGTGAGCAAAAGTTGAGAATTAAAAAATAATCAAGGACAGTGATTAAAGGCAAAGAGACCCGAGATTTCAGGAGACAAGTATCTGCGTACGGATTAATTAGGTAAGTAGAGAGGCATTTATACCCAATGGAGGCGCAACTGGCAGCTGGCAGCTGGCAGCTGGTCGCTAGCAATAAACACAAGTCTCCAGCAAAGTATTTCCCTGCAAAGCTTCGCCGGTTGGTACCCGCCCATTTGAAAGAGATCCTTCCTCGATATCTGCAAACGCATCAATACTTACTTGCTGCAAACACGACTTACATTTGTTCTTCCCTCCTAAATGTCCATCATCATGCCCTCGTTTATCCACGCAAGTCAATGATTCGACTCATCTCCCTCATCGCCATATCGATCTCACCAGCTGCGGCCGACCTCATGAACAGCTCCACACTGAGATGTTATTATCATTCCAAATTTACGCTGCAGGACTGACTGCATTGCCGCTCACCGACGCCGATGCTTTTCATACAATCAGATTGAGGTCAATCGAATCGTCTGCCCCTTCGCTCTCCCCGTTCTTTGCTGCAAATACCGTCGGGACTGTTTACCAGACTCTACCGTTGTGTCGTTGCGTTACGGTACGCCGCGCTAATAACACTACAACTTATTGGCCTGTTCAGCGACAACAAGCTTATTCGTATGCCCAGCATCACGCTAGCCTCGTACATATTGCCATGTCTCTGTAACTCTGTACATGGGCATCTTTCTCATCAAGTACGAAAATGCGATTCTCCTAGCTCGGCATTTTTCCCTTGTGTGCTTACACTACATCCATCTTCCGTTCCAAGGCCAGCAAAGCAAACATGCATTCTCAAGCCACCCCTGGTCGCCACCTCATTCGGCAATCCTGGCCTAATCAAGCCCATAGCATTGTGGCAGAGCAAAAGTGCTGCTGCAAAGGGTTAAGAATTGACCAGGCTTAGAAGTGGCTAACACCATCGATCGTTGCGTGACCCTTCAACACAATCACTGCTAACAATCAGCCACGTACCGAATACCGCCAGTCTGCACGTGCTTGTGCAGTCTTTTCCCATGGACAACCTCATTTCAAGACTCGTCTTGTGTCCTCGACCACTCCTCGCGCAGCACGTTTCTGCACGATAACAATGCTTTAGAGCTAGACCACCGCGGTCCATCTGCTCCGCCTCAAATATCGCTACCAGCCACTCAAACAAACGCTTTCCCCATTGACAGCCTCATTTGCAACCCAATCATCACGATGGTGGTATCCCTGTTACTCTGCAAATGTCGTGCTCAGTCGGTGCGATTTGCTTGATACAGGCGTATTGCCACCTCCTGGGCCACTCTAACGAAGCTCCCCTATTGTCCGCTTCAACTAGCTGCCGCCAGTGGCCGCTCTTTTTTGCTTCTTCAGACACAGGCATCTAACTGCACGTATTCGGTACCTGTAACTAAATACTTATCTCGGTGTGGGACACGGTACGGCTCGGAATCCCTTTCACCATCTCTTTGGTATCCCCACCACATCGGCCCGCCCCTGCACAGCTCAAAACCCAAACGACTTCGCAGTGCGCACCAATCCGACTTGGACAAGCTCATATCCCGCTGCTTACCAGATTCAGGGTAGTGCAACGCTGCAAGAGCGGGATCGACGGTACAGCTGCCCACCAGATTTGAATAATTCGACGAGCGGCGGAGCAAAGAAGGCGCCTGCTGCGAAATACCAGCGCCTTTGCAATAACCGTCTCATTCAGTCCAGAAGCTTCTGGTCTGTTGCCGAGCCAGCACGCTCATGCCGTGCCACAGTACCGCCACTCTAGCAAGCCGCTGGCGCTCGTACAACAGCGTTTCCATTGCGTAATAGCAGGTAGGCGCAAGCCTACATGCGACGCCCCCATATGCGAAGCCACTGTGGCCATTAAGAGCTGCCAGAGGCCACCGGCGCGAGGCCACGCAACTTGGCAACCCAGCACCTCGGAATGGTTGCACATTATCTCTGCTCTACAGCCACAGCAGTGCGCGTGCCGCCCCAAAGCCCCCCTCTTTTCCCAGCTCCGAGACCTCTTGCCCCAACTGTCCTCGCCGGCCGAGTAAGGAGCCAACTATCACGCAAGCCTGCTTCTTGGTCATCCCAATACACGGAAATGAAGTATCTCTTCTCGCTCAACCAACACCTACAAGCGACTGCACAGTTTCTCTCAACTCATTGGCACTGGCTCACTCGCTCCATTTCCATAGAGTGTCCGCCAATGCGACAGCCCTCGATGCAAAGGTAGCGTCACTAGCTGGCCCTTGAGAGAACTAGACTACTGCGGGCCTATGCCGGACGATGGGCACCATTACGAAGTATACCGTCCCGTTCTATTCAACTGCCCTATAGGATATTGCCACGGTGCTACTCCGTACTCCTCTTGACTATTGCCTTTGAGCAGCAGACCCCAGATCCTTCCAGCCAACCAGCCAGCCGGGTTGGCTGCTGCATGGCGCACATGGCGCCCATGGCGCCCATGGTGTACATGGCGCCAAGTCTGAAAGAGAGCAACCAGTGGCCGTTGATGTGCTGAAAGTATAGGCCCCGAGATTCACACCAAGACCTTCG